GCAGGAATAACCATACCCCAGCTACTTTGGAGAACACACCTGCACTTTACTCATCAGTGAGCAGAGTATACTTGCACCATTATGCTGTCAGTCAATAATGCTTAAGCGTGCATTTCTTTCAAAATAGTCAGAATTAGTGATGGTCTTCAAAGCATGTAGAAGTAATGTACCAATAGCAAAGGGAGAATGTTACTTACATTATATTATTTTAACTTACTGTCTGCCAAAAAGGTTAAGTAGTCAAGATACCTGGGGAGACTCAGATGGTACAGTTCGTTTGTTCTGAAGTTCTGCCAGAGACATGTCAATCCTCCTGGAACACAAAAACATTCCATAAAACCAAGTGCCATCTCTATAAATAGCACAAGTGTTTATGGAACCAACTACAGAAATTTTTTTTACAGACTGTGAGCAGGTAGGTTAGAGTCAGTGGAAAAAAACAAAACAAAAAAAACCCCCAACTTTATAACACTTCACATTGTCTAAAGTCTAGTGAAGATTAACCACCTAAATGCAAATAAATTAAGGCAAAAACCACATCAATTACCTGTGAATTTCTGGATCCAAACGTGTTTTCACTTCATTCATATTTTCAGTTGGCTTATCCTTAATTTTTGAGAATCGTTCATGTAGAGTTATGTCAGAAGATGTAAAATAATTTGCTGGGAAGAGATATTAAATACAAAAATATTTACTTCTAGTATCTGAAATGCACAGTGGGAATTGTATCTTTCAAAAGACTAACTCTTAAGGACACCAAAACAACTTCCAAGATTAAAATTCAAACTATTTCCACTTGCAGTTTAACATTCACAAATGAAAGATTAGGCCAGCCCAACTCATCCAATAAGATTAAGCTCAATAGGAAGTTAACTATTTGTCGGCTCGATCACAATAGTACTCCAATAACTAGTCTATAAATAACATTAAACACCAAACATGGTGCAGCAGTCTAAGCACTAATCTGAAAAATTAAAGAAACTATATATAAACTAGCAAGTTGTGACTACAGCAAAGCTCCTCTCCAAGTATCAGAGAGGGACTCTTCATCAGGGACTGTAGTGATAGGATAGGATAGGATAGGGGTAATGGGTTTAAACTGAAACGGGAAGTTTAGATTAGATATAAGGAAGAAGTTCTTTACAGTGAGGGTGGTGAGGCACTGGAATGGGTTGCCCAAGGAAGCTGTGAATGCTCCATCCCTGGCAGTGTTCAAGGCCAGATTGGACAGAGCCTTGGGCAACAGTCTAGTGCGAGGTGTCCCTGCTCATGGCAGGAGGGTGGGAACTAGATGATCTTAAGGTCCTTTCCAACCCAAACCATTCTATGGTTCTTGTTTCCTAAACAAGCAGGTTAGTCTTAAGTACAAGCATAAATTCTTTTCAGCCTTAACACTTCACAGTAATGTCTCTGTTATGGACTGAGACCTTTTTAAAATCATTCCCCACTCAACTATAAATCCTCAACCTACTTTTTCCTTAATACAAAATGAAGCCAAAATACAAATGAAATCAAAGGAAAACACCCTGTATTTACAAGGACAGCATACGTAATTCATTAGATTTGGTTTTAATAATTACAAATACACAAACATATACATATACCCCAAGTATTACAGCCACCTTTAACTTGATGGATAATTGTAATTATTTCCTGAGTAAATTCTCTTGATGGGTCGTTTTCCACATTTTGTGTAACAGATTCCATGTGCTCAAACACCGGATGAAAATTTTCAGTTTTCCTGCCAACAGCAACGAGATCATGGGACATCTGTCTCTCTGTAGTATGACTAGAAGCACTCCTAGAATAAAAAGTTACAGATATTCACTTTAAAAAAATTCACTATGTTAAAAAAACCCCTTCAAATAGATAAGAACAAAACAATAACTTAAGAAATTAATTCTAGGAATCAATGTGATGGAAACTGAAATCTCATTTTGTTGTTTTGTTGTTCTGTTTTTTTTTTTAATTAAATAAAAAAACCTCGTAAGACCATAAGGAAGAAAAGCTCTAATAAAATACAAAGAGATATGACTGCACTCTCAGGAATCCTTGTTCCAGTAAAGTATGTAATACAAAATATGTGAATTTTAAACTTAATTCATCTAGATCATCAAATAAAGGCAAATGAAGATCCTGATATACTACTTTAGTATAATTCTGGAAGGCAACTATGTGTGTCTTTGTTTATAAGGAGCTACTAGACAATTTTCAAGAACAGGTCAGAGATTAAAAAATCTTACAGAATCTTTGGGAACTGAATTATCACTTGAGCCTCGTGAAACAGCTTTCCAGTGGCAGTGTGTGAACTTAAGAACGTGTTTAGCATCCCTTCGTCAAATTTTACTCATTCTAAGTGTTTACGCCCCAAATGGTTGCATTGCTGCTTAAGAATTATTTTGACAAGGAAGCTAACACTTTAAAAGTCTTGCTTGTTTCATGATAAATGCTTGTAACTGGAAAAGATAAATTGAGAACTCAAACAGCCTGTGTAAAGCCTTTTAGGATAAAGACTGTTTACTGTGCACCCTGCAAAGTGATCATGTGGCTGCCCATCCTGTATTTGAAACATACAAGACTAGGATTTCACACAAAAATTGTATCAGAAATAACCTCGAGCAGGTGCCACAGGTCATCTATTTGCCCCCAGTAAAGTGGAAATAAATGCATGCAAGAGGTAATCCAAACAATCTCAGTTGCAGATGATTTATCTACCTGGTCCCCAGGTTTATAAAGACAGTGTACTTCTCAGCTGAGTCATTTCAAGACAGGTGTTTGTTAAATGCCTGAAGTAGCAGCACAAATATTCCCAGTCATCAACTTCTGTACAATTAGTGTTCTTGTCTTAAAAAAAATAAGGTATTTAGCACTTTTGACTGTGGAAACAAACCTTCCTCACATTAAATTAGCTGTAATCAATGTAGTAATTTCTTCAGTCTGTAAATAATTACCATGTCCATTGCACAACTTTTAACATCAGGAGCAAGAGACTACCAGATACAGGACTTGTCCTCTGGGCTATCAACTAAACCTAACGATAATTATTTTGCTTACATTATCATTCAGGCAGTTAAATGCTTTCCTAGCACAGGGGTGGAAGCTATTACTCCACTTACCCTTCCTTAGTCTTTAATATTAGCCCCTAATATACAAAGAGCAACTTTTCTTTACAGATCTCCATTGTATCACATGTTTCTGAAATACTGGAAGGCAAAAAAATTACATAGATGTTTTATTTGGGACAAGAGGGGAAAATACCTTTAAAATGAAGGCTGACAGTTTTGGAAGGGAAGGTAATTCCTTCCAAAAGGGATTACTGCCACTATGTGAAATTCTGGCCAGCAACAATAAGGCAACAAACCAGAAAAGCCTGCAAAAATCTACACGAACCAAGCTGCTTACTCTCTGCCATGTATCCATCATCTAAATCTTCATAGCATGACGGCTTTTTTCCAGTTCAGCCACACTAAGAATGCTAAACATAACCACAAGTATAGCACAGAAGACAGACAGAAGCAGACTCTACTGCTTTTCAGTTCTGACGCCTCAGCAGATTGCCACTTGATTTCTTAAAACAATAAATAACAAAACCAGGGAGCTCTCATTTTTTGACAGCTTTATTGAACTTCAGACTTGAACATCTGAATGTGTGTGCCTGAGATATATGTAATTTAAAGGTTATCTGCTTTTCAGAAGAAATGAGGGGTAACTCAGGTAGTCAAGAAAATGCTATCATATTCCAGAAGAAAGCACAGGACTAGGCTTTTGTGCTTTTGTTTTTAAATAAAATTAACACACTTACTTATCATAGACAACTTTTAGCTACAGGCTTGCATCAGGCATATCTGTGTTTTCCAGTTCCTACTTGAAATGAGCTAGAGGATTTTATTTGGTGTGGGTTAAGTTTCCAGTCTGGGCAAGTTAATATTTTAAACAAATTTAAGAAAGTACAACCTTAGTTTGTTCTGGTTACCTCATAAAGAAACCATGCTTTCCTCCAGCATTCATAAACTGTAAAGAGACTGGAAAAAAGAGGTGAGGGGAAATCAGTACCTGTACTTGGTCACCATTTTCTTCGTATCCACTTTGATTGTGAGATGTTCCCTCCTACAGTTGACATCTGACATTTTCACATCTGAAACAGTATGATTTGAATCATGCTGGCTATTGGAGGAATCTACTTTTTTCCTGAATTCCCCTTCTTTCCTTACTCTTTCCTTCGGTTTGTTTTTAAAAGATCTCAGATCAACATCCATTTTGGAAGAGTTAACGCAAGCATTGCAGCCCTTCTTTGAACTATATTTAACAGGTGCTTCAACGTGCCCTTCTTCAGTCCGTCTCGCTCTTCCACTGCTAAAGTAATCTAACTCTTTGCTATTCCGGGCACCCTTAGAAGAACCGTATTTCTGGTCTTCCTGCTTCACATACTTCTGAGCTCTATCGTCTGAAAAAGGCTTTTCCCCATCCAGATGCCTGCGCCGTTTGTGACTGTACTCATAGGCTATCTTCGCAACAGAACCCTCCGAGTACTCCCTTTCAGCCGATCGGTGGGACTGGGCACCCAGATTTCTCTGCTCCTCCTTTTCTTGGTAGGGTGGAAAAGACCGTTCTTGCTTCCACATGGAATTTCTTGCTACTTCTCCACCGTCATACCTCTCCATTTCTTTAGCCCTTTTAGACGTGTGCCCATATTCTCTGTAATCGTGATCTTCAGGATACCTGTGTTGACATAAAGCAATTTACACTTGCACTAGAGAAGAAAGTGAGAACTTATATGTGCAGAATGTTGAACAGCAGAATGCGTGGCAAGTTAACCCATAATCCCTCACGCCAAGGTACAGATGTGCAGGGGCTCTTAAGAGAGAAATATTATCCTTTCATACTCTAGCCATCAATACGATTTACTTAAAAGACAAATACTTCACTACTACGAGTCGCCCATAATTAACCTACAAAGTGGCCAACGTGTTTCAAGGTGGTTATCTTCAACTATAATGAAAACAGACTTTCACTTGAGGCTTTATACAACAATACCCAGGGTTTAATTATTTTATTCCTATACCTCTTCTGTAAAGAGCTCCTTGCCGTAAATTCATCAGAAACTCTTCTGGGTGACTGACCATACTTCTCTTCATGTAACCTCTGGTGCCTCAAGTCATCTTCATGCCATTTTCTTTCAAGTTTACATGAAGCCCCTAACGGTCTATGAAAAGGTTTCATTCCTTTTTCATTTCCAGCGAGTTTGTAGTGCTCAAACATGTATCTGTCTTCCATTTTGTGTTGGTAAAATGGACGATCATGTTCTTTATACGGTATTTCTGAGTATTTTGGTGGTAACTGGCATCTCCTACTGCTTTCAGTTCTTTCAGATGAATGTGTTCTGTAGGGTTTATGACTGTAAGTATCTTCCATGGGAATTCTCTTCAGGCTTGGTGAAGGTGATCTACGTTCATACATTCTCTGGTGGTTATTTCCATGAGGTGCAAACCTGGAATTGCTTTGTCCATATTTTTCATCTTCTATTCTCCAAGGCATAGGCTTCTTTGGGTCCTTACGAAAGCTTTTATATTCACAGTCATAATTATTATGAGCATGCCTTTGCCTATGGTGCTCTGGGCTCCTAAATGCTGGAGATAAGGACCTAAGACAAAAAAAAAAAACAACACTTTGAGTAGTCCCATAAAATTGAATCAACCTCTTAATGAGCATAGCTATTCCCTAAGGAAGTTCAGTTTAATACACAATTTTAATCAACGGATAAAAAAATTAAAACCAAGATATTCAAGGTGTCATTTTTTTGGCTAGATTCCCAAGCTTACTTTTACTCTGTGGAAAGTTTTCATAGTAAAAATCCCCATTCAAAATAGTAGTAAGTCAATCATTTTTCTCTTGGCATTTTTTCACTTAAACCTAAAAGTAATTTCATATATATGAAGTTTCCACTACATTGAAGACAACTGTTACGCACATTTTCACACTTTCAAGTATTCCCTATATTTTTTCAGTGCCAAGAGAAAGAAGGGCAAGGGCAAAAAGCATATAAAGAAATGGAGGGGAAGAAATAACAAAAACAACAACCTTTTCAGGTTTTCTTTGCACAACAGAACAATCTCAAAAACTGAAAACATTATGAAATATCCAATTTAAAATATCACACAGGTAGGCAGAAAAGATCAAGTCTGAGAAAGATGTTTTGGTCTTTTTGTATAATTGTGTGGACATGTGCACACATCTATACACATGTACACATATGCACTTCCACACTCATTACAGTTTTTGCTTTTAAAGATTTAATTGCTAAGATTCACTCAATTGCACCAAATCAGCTTTGCATTTGCACTTACAGTTACAAAAATGGAAGCAACCCACTAGGAGTTTTTAGCCAAGATCTCCTTAAATAAAGAAAAAACAGCACAAGCCACTAGTAAGAACCAGAAAGCCGTCCCCAGGCATAATAGTTCTGCTTGTGCCCCACCCCTGGCAGTGTTCAAGGCCAGGTTGGATGGGGCTTTGAGCAACCTCATCTAGTGGAAGGTGTCCCTGCCCATAGCAGGGGCATTGGACTAGATGGTCTTTAAGGTCCCTTCCAACCCAAACCACTCCGTGATTCACTGTATACTCCCAATACACTCTTTAATAAAACCAAAGAATGTAAGTTGAAAAATATTCAAGGAAGTCACTTCCTTTGGCCACATATTTCAAATGTACAATTTGCCATAACTATTTGCTCCTTTTCTGCATAAGAGTTCAAACTCAGAAGCACAGCTCTTCATAAAACTATAGTGGCTAACTTCCAATAGTGCCCATACTGCTGCTCCCACCCCATCTTGTTCTGGTTAAGGCTTGCATTTTAATGACAGCTGGGGCATTCCTCCCTGCTCTTCACTAGAACGACATATTCCAGACTATCAATCTAGTATGGAAGTAGATAGGATTATTCTTTTTAAAGAACAAAGAAACAAAAACCCATACACATTTTTCTGTGTTACACAATAAACGCCCTCGGTCTTGGTCATCACAACTTCATTAGTCCGTTCAGAAAAGCAACCCAAAACCAGCAGAAAATTAGTTTCAAGCTCTTGAAAGTGTAAAATCATATTCTAGCCTCCTTTAAAACCTCAAATTTGCATTGCAAGTCCTAAAGATTAGGTGGGTAAATAACAGCATGAAGTAAGCCAGATGTTATTCTGGTGACAAACACCAATGACACGCACCACTAGGCTACTGTCCAAAAAGAAAGGCACTGATTCCCGTTACTTCAGTTTGTGTTATGCTGCAAGGCAAATCTAACTGCACTAAAAATCAATTTGTGGATGAGCCCCAAAGGCTCAGAAAGCTCGGGGTGTTTGAACTAAGTAGTATTTTCTTCGATCTGGCCCTCCCTGCAAACCAGGAGGCAAACCAGGCGCAAGTTACAGACACTAAGGGCACCAGGTGCTGTTTGAGTAAAAATAACCTGAACTAGTTTGGTGCTCGGATTTTGTGCTTAAAGCAGTTCCAAAACATGCAAGTTGAACAAGGTTCTTGGCAGACACAAAAATCAACACCTCCAGCTTTAAGAAAATCATAATAATAAAATTGCAATTTGGGAAATATATTGCAGGTGTTCAGTTTGAAAAAAATAAAATACACCTTATACATTGCAACTCTGGGCACAGTTTTCTTTCTTTACACCAGTTTTAAGTTCTAATTAGAAGCACCTATATAAAGCTACATTTCAGTACACAAGTTATAGATAAATTTTTACCTTGGTTTCCACCGTGGTGATCTTGATCTAGATCTTGTCATCTTCTCTCATGTGTTTATGTGAGTTTCTTGAAGCTGTAAAAATGATACACTTTTACTAGTCTGGTAACAGAATGGCACTACAAATTGCATCAGGGACAACTGTTTTTAACAAGTATAGTATCAGGTGCTTCAAAGTTGGAGTGAGGCATATTTTAGTATGTTTTACTTTAATCTCTAATTCCTATTTTAAGGCAGGTAACTTCTTTCTGATTTCTGATCTTAAAGTACAGCTTATTTTCTTTATAAAGATTGAAATATTTGACCACTGCTCCCTTTTCCTCTCCATTTTGCAATGCTGTCTATTCACTTTGGTTTTAAATGATAATAATATCACAAGTAAGCTGCAGCAACTGAAAAAAATGCTCTAATTGTTAGTATGTGTTGAATGCCACAGATGAGAGGGGAGAGACAGAAAACTTTAAAGTCAAGTTTACAAAGAAAAATGGTGTTGCATCAAGTCATATTCTGAACTTCACATACACTGAAATTCAAATTTGTAATATGCACTGATATTTTCTCAGTTACAGATCTCCTGTAAGCTTTAACTGGTCCATCAAGTCTTAACTGCTGTATCATCGTGCACTTCATCCATGTACATAAAAACATGTACAAAAGATCACTTCTAATTTTTATACATTACTTGTTAATAACCTACTACCTAGACACACATACAAATATACAATGGATGCACTATGAAAAGAAAGCACTGTTTCTGAATCCTGGAAGCAGCTCTGGGCATCCCTTCTCATAAAAGCTACGGAAAATGATAAAAATATCCATGGAATCTACCCTTCTTGCTCCTCTTTGCAAAAAAATACTAGAAACTCAGAAAACAAGCAATGAAATTATATGTGAACTCACAAGTAATGTGACTGGTGAAGAGGAATGAAATGATTATTCATTATTTAACAAAACACAGGGATTAAAGCAGAATAAAGTTACCAGGTAAGTGGTTAAAAGTAGGAATTTGGACCACATACCCATGCCTGCAGCTCCTACCTACCACAAGATGCTGTAAAGGCCAGAAATACAAACAGATACAAAAACAGATCCATCAACAGCTCTGAAATTAATGAACAAGCAGTCACTTGAAACGAAGAACGTTCCAGGTCAATGTCACTCTATGTGCTTTGGTATTTTCTGTAATTATTTGCTCACAGACACTCATGGAAACAGAAAACTAGTCTGGACTGGCCAAGTATGGCCTTTTTGACATTCCCAGTGCTCAAACAATTTCTTTAACTAAATCTTTCACCTGACCCACTGAAAGGGAAGAAAAAACAGCAAGCTTCCAGACATGTAAGAAACTGGAGAAGCAGGGTGCACCCCCATGCCTGACCCAGCACCTCACACTCCCCCCAGTCACACTAATTGGTCAAATAAAATATTACCCCTTGCTATACCTATTTGTATGATTAGCTCATGGCTAAAATAGCAGTACCTTACAGAAGAATACATGTAGAGCATGCTTCTAATGCCTACCACCACAGGTGGACGTTAGCCAAGTGACCCACTACATTTCAGAGTGATTCTGGAAACATTCACTTCCTGCTCATTAAGTCGCACCATAAGCTAACCAGACAATTACTTGCAAGACACAGCAACAGCTCAGTTCTGGAGAAAGCCTTCTTGAATTTACTTCTTTTAATCTCAGAAATCTCCCACTTTCCAGGAGAGCATTTGCTCTGCAATGAATCTTCCCATGTGACAAGGCATGATAGGGAAGAAAAAAACCCCCAAACCCAAAGTACCCCAAAGACAACATATAATATTTGTTCCCTGAATTTTCAAGTATGAAATTAGCATTTCCTCCTAGATTCTAAAGGCACGTATCTGAGAACTGCATGGCATGAATTAACTTCAGGCCCTTTCCTTACTTGGAGATCATACTAGCCAAAGTTAAATATGATGTCCCAATGCCAGTACTCATTAAATATTATTTTTCAAAGAAAAGTAGTATTTTGATCAAAATACTTTTATTTTTCTCACCCATAAAAAACACACCTTACCAGAGACAAAACAACAACACCCCCCTGGCTAACACATCTCAGTAACAGTATCAAAGATTCACTACTACGCTCTCTTCTCGTAAACTTTAAAAAGTGATGGTGGTTTATGTGCTGTTCAAAATCTTCCTATCTTCCCTTCAGTTCTGAACTTTATCCTTTATTTTCAAGTGACTACGTAAGCACCGAAAAGACAAAAGTACCATTAAATCCAAGCACTGTACAGAACCTGATCTACCAGGATCTCTCATCACAGACCAATCAAGCTAGAAACTGAATATATATATAATGAGAGATTCTTTATTCTTTCTAGACTGGCTGAATAATCATACTAAAAGCACAAAAAGGTCTGTGACAGCATGTCCTAGATCTTGCCTTAGGATAAAGAGGACTACTATAATTTTCATCAAAGACAATCCTTTTGTTTAGCAGAAAGCAAGCTTTCATTTGTTTCAACGTATCTCCTAAAAAGTGACCCACACAATATGGTTTCCTCACAGCAAGATACGAGATGCAACACGCACCATATGAAGGCAGCAGACACTCAACCCCAATTAAGACTCCCAGTGTAACAGAATCACAAAATTAGTATCTACACAGAATTTGTAAGCACATTGCTAAATTCAGGTCTAAATCACCTCTCAGACCAATATGGCTCCATCCAAAAAGCAAGCTTTTTGGATGATGGCACTGGGTAGGAAGTGACTATAGCAGAATTACTTGAACCACAAGAAGGCCCTACAGTTCAGCCATACAGCTGCAAGGTCCTATTGGAGCAGAGGCACCAATATGGGTTCTGAATTTCCCAAAGTCCTCCCCCTATACTTTAAGGGATGCTGTCACTATGAAAACATGAAAAACTTTTTTTTTTTTTTTTTTACTAGGAAGCAATATTATTTACATTCACAGTGCTGCTTGTGTTTGTTGTGTTACAATAGGTAACTCATTGGACGAGTTATCAGTAACCATGCTTAGGTAGTTTTTAAATATTAATGGGAACCCTGGCTTTTATTTTCTCTTCCTTGACTTTTGGAATTGAAAGCAACTCACAAGAAATGGCCTCAAGCCTGCTTCCAGCTCTCCTTTGATTCTGCCCTTGAGAGATCAGTGCTTTGACAAGTGTGAATTTTTTGTACTATCTACTACAAACCTGAAAGGAGTATCTTGAGACACAATTTGAAAATGACCAGAAATTGTATGGGATGTGCCAGCCTGAACACAGGTTCTTTCAGAAAGGCTATACATTTTTAACAACTTGCTCTCCTGAACAGAACAATCTTCAATCTCCTTGATTTTCCCCAGTATGAATTACCAGAAACCACACATGACTGCAGTCATTTAACTGAATGGAGGGGAACTGGAGCTCTTCCTGATACAAAGAGCCCCACACCAGCAAGTCCCAAACAGCTAAAACCTTGCAGGTAAGACTGAGTAGTAATAGTTAACTCTCCTGTAAACAAACCATAAATACGTGGATTGTTCTTTTGGGGTTCCTACCATCATCTACAATAGGTCATGGAAGAAATCCTATACAGGACACACAAAAGGCAGGTCAGCAGCAGATGACCTAGAGCTGCTCTTCAATTGCCATTTCACCAATAGTGAAGGGAAATGCCATTCCTCACCCCTTCATAAGGGATTGCCCAACCGTTATTGCCACTGCCTCCCAAATATTTTAGAGGAGGAAGGGATAAGCAAGTCTTTCATAGGCTGGGTCACACAGCAGGCAGGAAGACAGACACTGACCTGTGCTGCAAAAACTACCCAGCTCGCTAATTCCCTCATTCTGTCCAAAAAGATAAGGAGCAACTACAAGTTTTTCATTGACTGTCTTCTTGGCAGAAATCAGCTGGAAGCTGCAAAGGACATGCCAAAGCATGTAATGCTGCAGTGGCTGTCAAGAAAGAGAAACCAGGAATTGAGAATCTCAACACTAAGCCAAGCATTTGACAGAAATACAATCAAATTAAAAGCTCAGCTGCACTCCAGACTTAACTAAAAAAAAAAAAAAAAAAAAAAAAAAAAAAA